CATGGATCCGCCACTGATAGTGGTATATCCTAATCCTAAATTTTGAACGTTGACCTTCAAAATGTATTTATATAGCATTACCGCAAGACAGTCTATATTATATATCATGATTTATAAACAAGAGTTTCGAGCATCAGCCACCTTTTAGGGTATATACGGCCGACTTATCTGAACCGAATGTCGATCGACGGTGCATCACCAAGAGCACATTATTTGTAGTGTTTTAAATTTTTATATGTATCTCTGTGCATATTTTAGTGTTTTTATAATGTATTTGTGTTATACCTTATTCAATGATCCGTCACTTCCGACGGCCATGTTTTTATGAGTTTGAGATTATCTGCAGTTGCATTGTTCGTAAGCCGTTCTGAATACATAAAAAATGCATATTTTGAAATATGACAACACTGACGATTTTGAGAGTGTACAGGGTAAAATTACAAGCACATCTACAGCGTACACAATAGACCTAGAATATCATGGAGAAGTAAGGTGAAGTAATTCAGGAAACTACCAATACTTTTATGTACAATCTTACTAGTACTATATACGTGTCAAGTAATGCAGTTTATGTGTATGCCTAGATAGATTATGAATATAGGTCAAAAAATTATTGTATACATTTCTAATATGCAATGATAGGCCTATAGCCGGTGGCCGATGTCTTCAACGAGCGGGCCGATCAGCGACGAGAGTGTATGCAGCGGGGCCCGGAGGAAACTCTTGGAAAAAGAAATGGGGTTCAGGGGAGAATCCCCCGGAAGCTCCGACAATTTAGAGATTTGAAATACTTATTTAATCGATTTTAGATCTCTTCACAATCTGTAAAAAAACTATATGGAAACTGTTTTCTCCCCGACGAATTGTTGTTTTCTCCCCGAAAGGAGCAGTTCATCCCCGGCACCCCCTTGGCACAACCCCTACCTAATAATACATGGTATTGTGTACCTATCCGATCACGTTTCATTTAATAATTTTGATCGATTGCCGAGATTGCATCGGGGAGCGGAGTAATGTTCTTTGTAAACTGTAATCGATTGTTTCCTGTTGGATCGTGGTTTCCTGTTGCTAAGGTACATAATACAAACAGATATTATAATACCGTGATCATCACAATATCACCATTCATTTCTTCATCTGCCGTGCATTACTCGGTCCAAGAAGAAACCCAGCGGTTTGAAGATTAACTGATCGTCTTATAGTTTCCCCGTTAAAACAGAACCAAAAATGGTAAGTTTATAATCATCGTATTCTTTAAAGACTATACATTTTAAAGCTACTGTTAGAATCCAGTTTTATTTATTGCTATGCCTACAAATATACTGTAGAAATCGTCTCCCGTTCTCAAATTAGTACTGTATATCTTTGTTTAATTCAAAAAGACAGCAGTGCATGCTGTAGCATACGGTATTCAGTAAATTATGAAATACTGTAGATTTGTAACTGAATAGATCATATTCAATATACACACTGTATTGGTGAACAATGGAGGTTAATTTATTTGGCATGGTCTCACTGTCTTCAAAATGTGAGCGGGAATGTGAGCAATTATTTGAGTATAAAATACCACGCCCTTACTTCAAGATTCCTGGCGAATCATTTGATAACGTAGTGTATGACTAATATACTGTCAAACAAGTAAGCCTATGCCTATATAGGTTTACGGATAGGTTTGTCTTCCGTACTTGAAATACTAGATAAATGCATGCATTCTGTTGATTTAATTGTCCAAATTGTTGACAATTGATTGATGATTGATATATCAATAAATAAACCAATCGGTTTATCACCGACGCATGCCAGTTATTATCGGTTGTTGGAGCAGCTTGGTGGTGACTGTCATCCAACATAATGAACAATCACGAATAATATATATGAATAATTGATAATTAATATAAAATTCAGTGGATTATCTATTGATAACACGGGGAGTGATGTGAAGGGATTAGGTGAATGGATCTACCTACCTAAGAAAACAAAGGGTTATGGGGTAATTCTGGACGTCTTTAAAACATGCTTTTATACAGGCCCGTATCCAGGGTGGGGGGTTTATGGTTCGGGAGAACTCCCCTTTTATAGCAAACCCCCTTCTTTTCTGGCGAAACACCCTCTTTAAATTTCCCAAATAAGTCCTCCAACCCAACTAATGCACTGCAGACCCACCCAGACACAGACAATTTCAAACATATCTGATTTTATAGCATTATTTAGACCCATAAAGCACACAAAAATGCTCTTGCTTTGGTGGTTTCGCCGACCCAACCGGGGCTTCGACTGTGGACCTCACGCCCAGAAAACCCTCCCTTGGAAGAACCTGGCTACGGGCCTGTTATAAATGTAATGGCACTATTATATACAGTATATAAAATAATAATAGATATATAAATAATAATAATAATAATAATAATAATAATAATAATAATAATAATAATAATAATAATAATAATAATAATGATAATAGTAATAATAGGCCTAACAATAATAAATAATTTTATTAAAATTTCAGCGTGAGTGTATTTCCATCCATGTTGGTCAAGCCGGTGTCCAGATGGGCAATGCCTGCTGGGAGTTGTACTGTTTGGAGCACGGTATCCAGCCTGACGGACAGATGCCAAGTGACAAGACCATCGGAGGAGGTGATGATTCCTTCAACACCTTCTTTAGTGAAACTGGTGCTGGTAAACACGTCCCTCGTGCTGTGTTCGTCGATCTTGAACCAACCGTCGTTGATGAAGTCCGAACTGGCACCTACCGTCAGCTTTTCCATCCCGAGCAGCTAATCACTGGCAAAGAAGATGCTGCCAACAACTACGCCAGAGGCCATTATACCGTCGGCAAAGAACTCATCGACATGGTTCTCGACAGAATCCGGAAATTAGCAGATCAGTGCACTGGTCTTCAGGGATTCCTGATCTTTCACAGCTTCGGTGGTGGCACTGGATCCGGTTTCACTTCACTTCTTATGGAACGTCTGTCTGTTGATTATGGCAAGAAATCCAAGCTTGAGTTCGCCATCTACCCAGCGCCTCAGATTGCCACTGCAGTCGTCGAGCCATACAACTCTATCTTGACCACACATACAACCCTCGAACACTCAGACTGTGCCTTCATGGTCGACAACGAAGCCATCTACGACATCTGCCGAAGGAATCTCGACATCGAAAGACCAACCTACACTAATTTGAATCGTCTGATTGGCCAAATTGTATCATCCATTACTGCGTCTCTTCGATTTGATGGTGCATTGAATGTGGACTTGACTGAATTCCAGACCAACTTGGTACCCTACCCACGTATTCACTTCCCTCTCGCCACATATGCCCCAGTCATTTCAGCCGAAAAAGCTTACCACGAGCAGCTGACCGTTTCAGAAATCACCAGCGCTTGCTTCGAACCAGCCAACCAGATGGTGAAATGTGATCCACGTCATGGAAAATACATGGCTTGCTGTCTGTTGTACCGTGGTGACGTTGTACCAAAAGATGTCAACGCAGCCATTGCTACCATCAAAACCAAGAGAACCATCCAGTTTGTTGACTGGTGTCCAACTGGTTTCAAGGTAGGCATTAACTACCAACCTCCAACAGTGGTACCAGGAGGTGACTTAGCCAAAGTTCAACGTGCCGTGTGCATGTTGAGCAACACCACAGCCATCGCCGAGGCATGGGCTCGTCTTGATCACAAATTCGATTTGATGTACGCTAAGCGTGCTTTCGTACATTGGTACGTAGGTGAAGGTATGGAGGAAGGAGAGTTCTCTGAGGCTCGTGAAGATTTGGCAGCCCTGGAGAAGGACTACGAAGAGGTCGGCGTGGACTCTGTCGAAGGAGAAGAAGAAGAGGAAGGAGATGAATATTAAACAAAGAAACATACTATAGAAGTTGCAATATGGTATTTTTACAAAAACGTAAAACCATACATTATTTATACAACTGTACTTTTTAGTTATTTATGGCTATTTTATACGAAAACAATTATCATGTTTAAGTTCAGTTTAGTCATGTGCTGATTTTAAATTGACTGAGCAAATGATGATGGTATTAATAATAATAATAATAATAATAATAATAATAATAATAATAATAATAGTTAATAATAATAACAATAATAATAATTAATAATGATAATAATAGGCCTAATATTAATATAAAAAAATGATGTTAAAAAAATGCACATAATAATAATAATAATAATAAGACCACGGTAATACTAATGACAGTGGCGTAACGCATAAGCGCTCTCGTGCGGCGGTCCGCAGGGCCCCTGGCCCCTAGACTCCTAAGGCCCCTCCCCTAACCACATGGTCCTCGATCTAGCATCCTGACCAAAAGGGTTTTGTTGATACATAACAGCATAATGTATCTCTAACATCGACTGTATATCATACTATTTTAAATTTTAAATCTGAGTGCAATTTCCGGCCATTTAGGGGTGTCGTAAACATAAATTTTCTTACCTCATCCAAACCATGTTGGGGCTGAGGTGGTATTGACCCTTTATCAGTGAAAGTCTCTCTGGGCCCTATTAAACATTCCTGGATTCGCCACTCATATCATATCATTTATTTTGTCTTTAAAAACATTTAGAATACAATGACAAACATAATTAAAACGAACATGCACCTAAAATCCCACAATGGAATTTGCGAAAAGGGACCCATGAAAAGGCCCCCACTTTCAGAAAGCCACAGGGCCCCCGACCCCATCGTTACGCCCCTGACTAATGAAAATAATAATAATGTTAATAATAATAATAGTAATACTACTACTACTACTACTACTACTACTAATAATAATAATAATAATAATAATAATAGGCCTATTAATAATAATAATGCTGTTAATAATAAAGGCGTATAATAATAATAGTAATGATAACGATGATAATGGTAATGATGTTGGTAATTGCAATTATAATGATACTGTTATGGTAATGGTAAAAATGATGATAATAAAAGAAAAGCAATTTGCACAGATGTTTTTATTATACCTTTCCTGAACTGAACCCATTTTAGTCTTGCATATATAATAATGATGATAGAATGAGTATTAATGATGATGTTGATGATGGTCATGACTGGACGATATTATGATTATGATAATGATTATATTATTGATGATGGGATGAGGATGATGATATTGACGATAATAATAGTGATGAAGAGCAGCGATAAAGATTTAGAGTTTCAATCAACATCGGTGATGATAAGATTCAATATTTAAATGCTCATATCCTACAGCTTCATGGCTTTGCTTCTACAAAAAGTCCCCACAACAACTATTCCCAACTGATCCCCAACAAAAGCATCAACCGGCCCTGCGGACCTCTGGCTCTGATCATCTTCCTTAATGAATTCTGGTATAACGGATCTAATAACAATGGCGGGCATGGCGGATACTCGAGTAAACGGAGATGCAGGAATTGATTGAGGCAGTTGTATTATAAAGTTAAAAGGACGATGCCCTTGAGGCTTGAGCAGATTCTCCCGCTTGGCAGATCGATGTAAGTTAATGAACCAATTCGCAACCAACACTTTCTTCCAATTAAAGATGTACAGCTGCGACGAATAAATGTAATAAATAACTACACAAAGTTAATTTATCCACCGTTAAAGATGTACTATCAGTCAAAATGCAGGAAAATGCCTCAATAAAAAAATAATAAATTTGGATAGCTTATTTAAAAGAATCAAATAGATTATTACTATAGCTTCCACAAAGCATCAGACCAAAACTCATTTGTTTTCACCGATTATACAGATATTTACTACAACAAAATCCACAAATTGACTGGTAATCAATATAAGGATTAAAGATAAATTGAAGATTTTTAAATATTCAAAAACAATATCCTAAATCTTTAAGCGTGGCACATCATTTTATTCTGGATGCCTTAAATGTACCCAATCCCAAAAAGTAGGCAAATAATAATTCATACGACATGCCCTTTTCACCCCTATAACCGTATTATTTTCAAGTGGCCAACTGTTGTAATTTTTAAATCAATTGGAACTTCGATAAAAACCATGACGACATCGGAGTTTATTTAACTAACAAGGTAACTGAACATCGGATTGGACTATAGCTGTGATAGGCCTGCGATAAATATTTCCGACGATGACGATCGACTCCCCGCGTGACGAAACCTTTATAAGGTGACCCGGTATTCAATCGTCATTCTTTTTCATCCTGCCCTCATTACAAGCGGCCTGGTGAGGAAAAGCCTTCAAGCTCAAATTTGACAGCTTTTACGTCGAAATAAAAAACAGTGCAATCATGGTAAGTTTTATACAGATGCTTTAGACCAGTAATTGATAGAGTGGGAGATTAATGAACATGAATGTATCCTGTATGTTTCATTTGGCTGATTAAGCTTTACGATCATCGCTCACGCGCTATAGGCCTACTGGTTGTAGACATTACTATGTAAAATGTATCACTTCCGGCTGCCATACATAATGGAAAAAACATGTTTAGACGTTCGCGTTTGCGAAATCCAGTTTACTATTCACGGTGTGGTTTTATGCAATTGGTCATTGTTTCCAATGCCCGCGTCAATTGAAGTCGATCAGTAGGCCTATCTGATTACTATTTAATTAATATGCACCATATTAATTGAACACTGCAGAACGACCTGACCTGCCTTGGTAGGCGACATTTATAGCTGCAACGTTAAGTGTATGTATATAATATAAACGTCATGTGGCTCAGAACGTGATGATCGCACGACAATTCTCGTTGATTACATTGCCATATTTTCACGTTGTACACTTTATGGTACACTGTAAATATGCATTCTAGTTTGCACAAGTTGGAGTTCAAATAAAGGTGGTTCTGTATTCTATAGGCTTATCTATAACCTTTAACCAATGTACATTATTTGCTTGCTACGTCATTGCTTTATTGGTACCGTGCCCATTGACCCATGGCTGTTACTATAGATACCATCCTCACTTGTGTAGCAGTAGCAGCAAGAAGTTAAGCTATTTATTTAGATAATAATATTAAGCCTAATTAATCTGTAAATATCCCAACATTACTTTTTATGACAATTTAACATTGACCACCACCACCCACCCCCAACCCCACCATTTTTAAACTCAGTCTGTGGGAAGGTTTTATTAAGGGCAAACCGGTATTGCAGCGTTAATATAGGATAGGACAATCATAAATCATGACTTTATTGTTCGAATGGCTTAATGTATCAGTAGTGTCATGTCAAATAGAATTATTCTTTTTCAACTTTTGACTATTCAAAGGGATTTTTACAAAGACACACGTTCTGTGAGTCATCATTCCTCCGTGACCTGGGTTCTAAAGGAATGATGATTAAAAACGACCCGAGGGTCTTATCTGAATTTGCCAGCCTTGGGGTACTCACACTCTATTTCAAAATTGGTAGCAGCGTGACCTCTTAGAAAAGTCAAGGGTGGACTTATAAATTGAGTGCATATATGACGTCACTGTATACCAATATCACATTGATATTATGTAAATAATAATAATAATAATAATAATAATAATAATAATAATTCTGGATTTATATAGCGCCTCAGGCACTTGAACATTATTACCCCCGGATCACTGGATCAAGCACATATGGAACACACACTCAAGCCCCATGGGGGAATTCCATAATGTTGCAGCTGTATTCAACGCAGGTTGTGTTTGAACCTACCCACTTGTACTCCTGGGTGGAGAGAGACAACTGTACGTACCGGTACATTAAAGTTCCTGTTTGCAATTTTCGTTTTATATATATTGATACAATTTCTACAAGTACACTTTATTCATGGAGGTATAGCAAGTTAATATCTCCATGCTTTAATGGCAATATTTGCCTAAATATAAAACTATATTGTACAGTATCTTTATAATTGTCGAATGACCTTTATTATATCTTCAGCGTGAAGTAATCTCAATCAATGTCGGTCAAGCCGGTGTCCAGATGGGCAATGCCTGCTGGGAGTTGTACTGCTTGGAGCACGGTATCCAGCCTGATGGTCAGATGCCAAGTGACAAGACCATCGGAGGTGGTGACGATTCCTTCAACACCTTTTTCAGTGAGACTGGTGCTGGTAAACATGTACCGCGTGGCGTGTTTGTTGATCTGGAACCAAGTGTTATTGGTAGGTTAAGATGCTTGTCGTGACAAAAATAAAAATGTGACATTTAAAGTTTACTGTATTAGTTCATCACTTCAAAAAACGGTTTGTTATAATTTAAGATGTTTATTTATAGATGAGGTCAGAACTGGTACCTACCGTCAACTTTTCCATCCCGAGCAATTGATCACCGGTAAAGAGGACGCTGCTAACAACTACGCCCGAGGTCACTACACCGTCGGTAAAGAACTCATCGACATGGTTCTTGACAGAATACGTAAATTGGCAGATCAGTGCACCGGTCTTCAGGGATTCCTGATCTTTCACAGCTTTGGAGGTGGAACTGGATCTGGCTTCACTTCACTCCTCATGGAACGTCTGTCTGTTGACTATGGCAAAAAATCCAAGTTAGAATTCGCAATTTACCCAGCCCCTCAGATTGCAACTGCAGTCGTCGAGCCATACAACTCTATTTTGACAACTCATACAACCCTTGAGCACTCGGACTGTGCATTTATGGTCGACAACGAAGCCATTTACGACATTTGCCGACGTAACCTCGACATCGAAAGACCAACTTACACCAACTTGAACCGATTGATTGGTCAGATCGTATCCTCAATCACCGCATCTCTTCGATTCGATGGTGCATTGAATGTGGACTTGACAGAGTTCCAGACCAACTTGGTACCATACCCACGTATCCACTTCCCTCTCGCCACCTATGCCCCAGTAATCTCAGCCGAAAAAGCTTACCACGAACAGCTTACTGTCGCAGAGATCACCAACGCTTGCTTCGAGCCTGCCAACCAGATGGTGAAATGTGATCCACGTCATGGCAAATACATGGCTTGTTGTCTGTTGTACCGTGGTGACGTTGTGCCAAAGGATGTCAATGCAGCCATCGCTACCATTAAGACGAAGAGAACCATCCAGTTCGTCGACTGGTGTCCAACTGGATTCAAGGTCGGCATCAACTACCAACCGCCAACCGTGGTGCCAGGAGGTGACTTGGCCAAGGTACAGCGTGCCGTGTGTATGCTGAGCAACACCACAGCCATCGCCGAGGCATGGGCTCGTCTTGATCACAAATTCGATCTGATGTACGCCAAGCGTGCTTTCGTACACTGGTACGTGGGTGAGGGCATGGAGGAAGGAGAGTTCTCTGAGGCTCGTGAAGATTTGGCAGCTCTGGAGAAGGACTATGAAGAGGTTGGCGTTGACTCACTGGATGGAGAAGAGGAGGAGGAGGGCGAGGAATATTAGAAATGGAAGTTGCAAAACAAGACATTCATATATTTTAAATGGCAATGCTACTAATACTAGACTGGTTTATAGTAAATATTTTACCTGGTGTTTTACCTTTATTTCTGACAAATAAATACAACAATTTCTAAAACAAACTGCTTTTATATAACCAAAAGAACAAGTGCACCCACATTTTTCAAGGACTGGCCTAACTGTCGTTTGAGAAATTCATTGTTTAAATTAATGAGGAACTTTCGACTATGCTTTTCTAGAGGTGGTTAAAATCAATAATGATTATAATAATATTATAGTACACATCCTGAATTTCCAACGAGCTTGTATTCTGTACAATAATGGTGACGTATTAAAAAAAAAAACAACGATATTTGGCACTGAGTACAATTTCTTTTTAAAGAATTTCAAGGCTCTTTTAATACAGTTTTTATCGTACAATACATCTCTCTTCGTTAAAAATGGACACAATAGTATGTTAGGCCTACACAAACAACAAACATAGTGTTCCTTCCATTTTATTGTTCGCAGTCATTTGAGGGGCGATTATTCGAGAGTGCGTTTACTTGAGGGGAGGGGGTTTTACTCAAAGTGTGGCGTGTGTTTGAATAAATAATTATGTTTTTGATTGCACATATCCGATTGCCTACAAAGACAACTGAAAAGGGATTTACATAGGAAAGGATGTTCTTTTGGGAAAAAAGGGTACCGTACAAGGAAAAACGAAGTACAGAATTGAAGTAAACAACAGTTAGAATAGAAGCCATTGTAGGCCTACTGGTACATTATAAATTTTGAGACTATTTTATATCAAAACAACTATTAACAAGTTAATTTGATTGATTATCGCATTCACTATGCCGACAACCATGTCATTAATGAATACGCGTTCTTATAATAAATCACTGATGTTTAATAACAATTGATGGACAACGTACTGTCCAGATATTCAAATCCGAAATACCTACTCGATATTATAATAACTATAAAGCCTTTGATACCCAACGCCTTGCGTCATATTTACGGTCAGCGAAACTTGGAGGCCTACATTATTTAGCGCTTTGAGCGGGCATATTATATTTATAATATTAGATAACATTTTCTGTACAGTACTGTATTATTATCGGTATCATTAATATAATTATTAAAATCTTTTTATTATTTGACGTCGTGCAGCGGGCGGATAATTCCGTCTTGTGTTTGCGAAAGGTAGGCGGATGGATGGAAAAACAAACAAACAGCCAAACACATATCTGTTATTCTAGATGAACTAGATTTTCTACGTGATATTTCGGGTTTAGGTTTTGAGATATAGAGGCAGTTTAATTAAAATAAGATTGTTTGTCTTATGTCACAAATGTACTTCTTTTTCTAACCCGTTTTGTTTTACACTATATAATTATATTTCTAATGGCTCCGGCTGGAATAAATATTTAAATGACATACTATATACATAATTGGCACAATACAATGTGCTTGAAGATCATTATATAAATGTATAACCTCGCATGCGCGCTAGCCTCAGAATACGCCCTGCAACACAATGTAGTTTGACGTGTGGGGGCGTTTAATACATGCTTCAAGTTATCAGCCTGATTGAAGTCAGTCGTCATTAGTCTCCCATCATAGGCGGACCAAGTGTTAACTGTTATTAGAATATTCAAACACAATCTCCATATTACCTGTAATAATGGTAAGTTCTACACACGTAAACTATTCTTGTTCTAATATGTCGCCGATTACATTAACCAAGTTATTATTTTTTGGAGACGCTTATAGCGCCGGTACGGTTAAAACACCAGGCTTGTAATAATATGAACAAAAGTTAGTTTTGATTAATGTGAAATTAGTTTCTTAACACCAACATGTACGTTTTCGTGCCCACAAACCTTTATACAAAACATATCCTTCTCATACACTCTCAAATATAGAAAACAGGCTTCAAGTATTCTGGCGGATACTCGAGTAAACGGAGATGCAGGAATTGATGAGACAGTTTATAAAGTTAAAAGAACGATGCCCTTGAGGCTTGAGCAGATTCTCCCGCTTGGCAGATCGATGTAAGTTAATGAACCAATTCGCTACCAACACTTTCTTCCAATTAAAGATGTACAGCTGCGACGAATAAATGTAATAAATAACTACACAAAGTTAATTTATCCACCGTTAAAGATGTACTATCAGTCAAAATGCAGGAAAATGCCTCAATATAAAAATAATAAATTTGGATAGCTTATTTAAAAGAATCAAATAGATTATTACTATAGCTTCCACAAAGCATCAGACCAAAACACATTTGTTTTCACCGATTATACAGATATTTACTACAACAAAATCCACAAATTGACTGGTAATCAATATAAGGATTAAAGATAAATTGAGGATTTTTAAATATTCAAAAACAATATCCTAAATCTTTAAGCGTGGCACATCATTTTATTCTGGATGCCTTAAATGTACCCAATCCCAAAAAGTAGGCAAATAATAATTCATACGACATGCCCTTTTCACCCCTATAACCGTATTATTTTCAAGTAGCCAACTGTTGTAGTTTTTAATCAATTGGAACTTCGATAAAAACCATGACGACATCGGAGTTTATTTAACTAACAAGGTAACTGAACATCGGATTGGACTATAGCTGTGATAGACCTGCGATAAATATTTCCGACGATGACGATCGACTCCCCGCGTGACGAAACCTTTATAAGGTGACCCGGTATTCAATCGTCATTCTTTCTCATCCTGCTCTCATTACAAGCGGCCTGGTGAGGAAAAACCTTCAAACTCAAATTTGACAGCGTTTACGTCGAAATAAAAAACAGTGCAATCATGGTAAGTTTTATACAGATGCTTTAGACCAGTAATTGATAGAGTGGGAGATTAATGAACATGAATATATCCTGTGTTTCATTTGGCTGATTCTATTTTATTTTCTCCATGGGCTGATTAAGCTTTACGATCATCGCTCACGCGCTATAGGGATAGAGCGAGACGTAAGTCAGCCACGCTTTGCAAAGCAGCCAGGCTTTGCAAAACAGTGACGTAGGCTTGGCTCTTCCATTTTTAACATAGGGAAACTTTTTTTGAAGGTAGTATCGCGTCATTTTACGTCAAACCGTACAAGGTTTATGTCGAAAGTCAATTTACCTTCGCAAAAATGGTATCGCCCAGGCTATTCTTTGGCATTAACAATTTTGCAATGCAGGCTGCTTTTTGCAAAGCGTGGCTAACCTCGCCTCGCTGCCGGTCTGCAGCAGGATGCAATTGCCTTTGTTTGGAACATGTTCTTCCTAGTTCCTCCTTATTATGGTATGGAACGTAGGGAGTGCCTTCTATGGAACGCCGTTACTGCCTTTGGTGGCTCTTTTCCGTTCGGCGCATTTTCTATTCAGCCGTTTTACCATTACGTTCGGTGCTTTTACATTACGTTAGGTGCTTTTTACATTACGTTCGGTGTTTTCACATTACGTTCGGTGCTTTTTACATTACGTTCGGTGCTTTTTAGCAAATGCGCCGAACGGAAAAGAGCCACCAAAGGCAGTAAAAAACTAAAAAAGCCCTAAAAAATGCGCGCCGAGCGCGCAAAATATTTTTGTGTTTAATTCTAATTTCGTCGGAATTGATGAAAACTCCCTAAAGTGTGCAATTTATGGGGAAATTGGCCTACCGTAACATGAAATGCGCGCAAAGAATTTGAGAATTTTAGGCACTTTCAGAGGATGCATTTGTCAAGGGGTGGGGAAAGATTTTCCAAAGATGGATATTTTCCCCTTTACCCCGGTGTTTTTAATTCTAATTTTGTTGGAATTGATCAAAACTCCCTAAAATGTGCAATTTTTAGAGGAAATTGGGCCATGTTAACAAGAAATGCGCGCGAAATTTGAGGTTTTTAGGCA